AGACCCTTGCAGTGCAGACTCTCTCCAGCCCAGGGCCCCTGCACACCCCGGCCCCGCCCGCAACGCTGTCCTCACTGTCTCTGCCTGGACTCGCCCCCCTCATCCCAGGCCTGTGTGGGATTCCACCTGCTAAGCATCGGTCCTTCCCTGTGCCTCCGCGCCTTTTCCGGTTAACATTTCTCAGGCTGTTTGTCTTTTTTGTCACCTTCTCCTTCTAGCACAGAATGTAAAGGGTCTGACTTGCTCAGCTTTGTAGTCCCAGCCACCTGTACCATACAGGAAGCCAGCAATTCTTTCTGAAGGGATGAAACGAGGAACTGAAAGGTTGGAGGCTGGGCATGGTGGTGCATACCTGTAATCCCAGCACTTGGGAGGCTGAGGCAGGAGGATTGCTGAGAATTCAAGGCCAGCCTGGGCTACAAAGTGAGCCTGAATGGCACAGTAAAACTCTGTCTCAAAAGAAAGAAAGAAAGGAGAAAGAAAGAGAAAGAAAGAAAGAAAGAAAGAAAGAAAGAAAGAAAGAAAGAAAGAAGAAAGAAAGAAAAGAAGAAAGAAGAAAGAAAGAAAAAAAGAAAGGAAGAAAGGAAGGAAAGAAGGAAGGAAGGAAATGAAGTGGTGGGAAGGAGGCTGGCACGTCCCCAAAAGGAGAGGGTGGCATGGGGCTTACCTCTTTGCACCTGTGTGCTTCCCTCTTTGCACCTGTGTGCAGACTCCCTTCCTGTGAGTTCTCCAAGGATATGGGACAGGTTGGCGGCTTTTCTCCATCCTCGCCCCATGCTTCTTCTTCCCTGGCTGTAGCCCTTCCGGCTGTAGCCATCTCTGGTCCCTTTTGTTTCAAGTCAGAGACAGAGACCGCCTCGCATGGAACGCCACGGTCTGGAACAGGAGTTCTGCCTGCTGGGTGCCCTGGCGGCGGCGGGGAGGGAGGCTGTGGTGCGGGCTGAGCGAGGCCCTGCCATCTCCTGCCCACCCCGCCTGCACCTAATGTGACTGTCTCATCAGAGGCTCAGGTAGCTGTGGCTTCAGCCTCCAACCCTTCCAGATGGAGGCTGAGGCTGCGGAGTTGCCGGATCCCCAGCTCTTCCCCCGTCAACCCCGCTTTCTGGGCAAGGCGGCCTCTCCCCAGACTGAAGTCAAGCTCTGCCGCTCTATGGGAATGCCTCATGTCCCTGTGCCCCGTTCTGCAGAGCCTGGCCGGAGCCTGAGGTTTCGAAGCCCCTGTGTTCCTATCTCAGGCTTCGGTTGAATGACCTGGTTGCCTATGGGTTTGTCTGTGTTTTGGGGACAGGGCCACGTCCTACGGTTTCTTCCTGGGAGAGTGAGGCAGAAGCTCCCCCACCTCCTCCGGCCCCTCTGCCCCACCTGCCTGGCCATGGCCTCCCTAGTCCTGCTGGCTGAGCCTCACACAGGCCCTGGTGGATTTGGTTTTTGCACGTCCCGGCCTCTGTCAGCACTATGACGTCTCCTGGCCATCTCGTGAGGTGGGGGTGGGGAACAGGACTGAAGTTGAGGCTTGGAGGGCAGTACGCTGGGCAGTGGTGGAGGCCCCCAGAGTGACCATCCATCTGCCTGGCCCCTGACATGCAAGTGTGTGGTTCTGCAGCTCTTCCAGGCCGGCCCCCTGGAGAGGCCTAGCGTGGAGGCGGGAAGTGGAGGGGACAGGTACAGGGGCTGCAGCTGCGGGAGTTGGTAGGGCTTGACAGTGGTCACTCAGAGGGTAGAATGGGGCTGGGCTGTGGCCCATCCTCTCAGAACGGGTGGGAGAGGAGGGTGGGTGGCTGAGCTGGAGGTCGCCCAGGCTAGGTGCCAGTGGCCGGAGACAGGCAGCAGAACGTGGGTGGCGAGCAGGCTCCAGTGGTGTGGGGACTGGGGACGTCCGTGACACAGGGTCGCAGGGAGCTCGACTGAGGAAGGAGAGCGGGGGTGATCAGGGGCAGCAGTCAGGTAGGTGAGCCAGTTCTCCATTGTACACTGGAGAAGAGCAGCTTGCTGTCAGGGCACAGTCCTTGGTGATAGCCAGGGCTGTTCTAGGGGGCTGACTTGGTCCTGGCGTCCAGAGAGGTCCCGGGCCAGCCTGGTGGTGAGGAAAGGGAGGTGCTTTGGAGCCCAGGTTGCAGGCGCAGGTGGTCACCTTGTCTCTGCTCCCACTCGAGCGGCCTCCAAGGCTGTCTCTGCCCGCAGCCAGCTCCACATACTCTGGTCCTCCAGGGACAGTCCTGGGCCTCTGCCCTGGTGTCTGCCACCACAGCTGGCTAGAGCCTCTGCCCACTGTGAGGGGCCATGTTGTCTTGTGTCCTGTCCTTCCCCTAAGACCCCTCTGCTTCCCTGCTCTGTGACCCTCTGTGGGTTCCCCATCTGCTCTGGATCTCAGGCTCCCATCTGTTAGATGGACATCCTGAGATTACCCTTCCCATGCAGGGGCTGGTCCTAAATCAACCGGTCCCAGCAGAGGTGTCCAGTACTTCGGAGTCTTCCTGCCTCTCATACCTGTCACCTGTATGTACCCAGGGAGTGAAGAAAGCTTCTGAGGTTAGCCAGGTCACACAACCAGGAGTGACCCGACCTGGGTCAATTTTATTGATATTGTGGGGCCATTCTGGATGGCTGGGAAAAGAAATAGAGGTCTGAGAAATCAGTTCTGTCTCCTTGATAAGCAATTTGTCTCGGGCCTCAGATTTCTGCACATGCTGAATGGATAGGGTCCTAAAAAGGAGGCTTGTATCCAGGAGTGGTGGCACAGGCCTGTAAACCCAGCACTCTGGGAAGCTGAGGTAGGAGGATTTCAAGTTTGAGCCCAGTCTGGGCAATTTAGCAGATGTTTTTTTCTTTTTTTTTTGGTACGGGGAATTGAACTCAGGACCTTGCATTTGCTGGGCAGGTGCTTGTGCTGCTGAGCTGTATCCCTGGCCCAGATGGTTTTTTTGAAACAGGGTCTCACTATATAGTGCAGGCTGGCCTTGAACTCAGTTTGTAGTCCAGGCTGCCCTTGAGCTCATGATCTTCCTGCTTCAGCCTCCTGAGTGCTGGGATTATAGGCACCACTATGTACATCTAGCCAGCAGTTTAGCAGTTTGATAAGAACCTGTCTCAAAAGAAAAAAATGGGAAAGGAGCTGGAGATGTAGCTCAGTGCAAAGTCCCTGGGTTCATTCCTCAGTACTGTGAGAAAGAAAAAAAAAAGAAAAAGAAAAGGAGAGGGCTGCAGAATCAGGACTGTGGCCCAGCTGCCCTTCGGGGCACTGAGCAGCTCAGCTCAGCTCCGGAGGCCTTTCTGCCTGCTGCCGGGTCTGGCACTTGGGCTGGGCAGTAGGGAGCCACTGGCTAAGGGAGACTTCCTGGGTCCTCATGTTTGATCTCCAGCATCACGGGGAGGAGGCTGACTGTGTCCTCGTGCTTCCGAGTGAGTGGGAGCAGAATCAGGAGATGGGGTGTTTCTCCTCTCCATGATGGCCCAGGGGACATTCACAGAAGCAAAAGTTTTGGGGAGTCCCTCAGCCTTCCCCCTGAGACCCTGCAAGCTCACTGTCCCACACCCCTGTGCCGGGTCCAGATCAGGTCCTGGAGTGCTGGCCCAATCTACTCTCTCCCTCCCTGGCCCTCCTCAGAGGTCTCGCAACACCCCCTCTTCCTTCTTTTGAGCTCCCAGCCCAGGAGGGACCACTAGGCTGACCAGGCCAGGGCTGAGGGCTTCTGCAAGGTGGAGATGAGTGCAGGCTGATCCAGGCAGGCCCGGGCATCCGTGAAGACCCCTCTGCCAGGTGCAGCATGGAGCCAGAGCTGCGGGGGCTGGCCCTGGGAAGGCCCTTAGAGCAGGCTCGGTGGTGAGTGCTGGAGGGTTCCGTGGGTGGACCCCGCCTCCAAGTAGCTTTCCTGAGCTGAGCAGCATAGGCTGGCTGTGCCACTGTCCAGAGCCCCCTGCAGGCTCAAGGCCAAAGGGAGATCCTGCTAGTGTTGCCTGGCTGTGGGTGCAGGGCTGCACCTTGCTCCACGGCCCTGTTATTTTCCTGGGGAGTCTCGAACTCACAGGGCTGTCACTGCTGTCCCCTGTGGCAAAAGCTGAGGAAGCTAAGGTGCCTGGCCTGAGCACAGAGGAGGCTGGTGCTTGCGTGGGACAGTTGGCAGCCTCGGCACCTGCAAGGACCGCTCCGTCTGCCCCTGAGGGGCCCGCGGGGAGCAGTGCCTGGTGCCCTAGTAATGGGGAGGAGCTGGGGGGAGCAACTGTGAGGCTTGAGGAGGGTCCCTTTGTCGCTCCAAATCCCAAGTCTGCGCGAGAGGGCCCTAGAGTCCCGTTTCAGGCCACGCAGATCGCCATCATAGGGAGGCCAGCTCAGACCACGCGGACCTCTCTCCGTGGAGCCCCAGCAGCCCCTGCTGCCATCACAGGAGAGCGGCCAGTGCCGCGGGACTTGAGTAGAACCATCCTGCTGGAGGCCCCCAACCGCAGTCCCATCTTCCCAGGCCCCGGTGCGAGGGCCTGCAGAGCCAGGTGGTCCCCTGCCCAGCACTGCCACCCTGTTGGGAGCAGCAAATTGGTTACATGTGTGGAGACAAGACAAGGCCACGGTGCCTAAAGCAGTCAAGCTACCTCAGTCTTTAAAGGACATCCTGTCTGGACAATTTTAGTCATTAGTTGCTGGGCAACCTTGTGTCTCATGATACTAATTTTTGAAGAGTATAAATAAATGCCTCTACTGTTGTTGTTGAGGTCTTCTTACCCATCCGGTGAAGAGGCCTCCACCTGACCAGCTCTTGTCTCTTGTCTATCTTTCGCTCATTCCTGCGGCGTTCCTCCCTGGGGCACACCGAGAGACCAAAAAGTTCCCTACACCACCCCAGCCCCAAAGGCCCAGGAGCTGCAGAGGGGGATCTGAGACTGGGGTGCTTGGGCCACTCCCAGGGCCAAGATGGGGCCCTCGGGTTCTAAGCTGGCTTCCTCCTCCCAGGGGTTGGATCTGTCTCTAAATGCTTAACTCCGCAAAGGAGAAAAAGCCCAGCCCAGGCCCAAGACCAAGGAATGGATTTATTGATTTAGTTACCGACATCCCCTGGCAGGATGGGGCTGTGTACAAAACAAGTAATCACCCAGAAAGGGGCTTTGTCACTGCACGCGCCCCACCTGTGCCCACGCCTCAGCCCACATGCACGGGGACACTTGCTGGAGGCCTAAGGATAAAACCAGCCAGTGGGTAACCAGAACGAGACGCCAGCACGAGGTCCAGGAGGCCGAGAGGGGAAACGTCTGAGTGGACCTCAGTCAGGTAGTCTGTACTGTTGAGCCCCCAAGTCCCCCTTCCTGTCCATGGCCCTCGTACGGTCAGGAGAAGGGGCGAGGCTCGGACCTGTGTGCGGAGGCCTCGCTCCTGCCCCAGCGTAGAGTCCATTCTCAACGTAGACAAAACCGCTGGGTGCTGGGACCCGTGAGGAGGCCTGGGGGGCACGCACCCGGGATTGGTGTGCAGGACGGGCAGGGACTGGTGCCCATTGGGACAGTCGCTGGTGGAGATGGGTCATTTCCAGAGCTGCTGGGCAGAAGCTGGTGGTAGGGTAGGGGAGGCGGAGAGCAGCCTTCGGAGGAAGGGAGGAGAGAGGAAAGCAGGCCAAATGAGACGCCCCTCCCGGCCCAGCTCCAGCCCCACCCAACCACCTGTCCTTACCATCCGAGTCTGGACCCTGGCAAGGGGCTGGCGCTGAAGCTTAGTGACAGACCTGAGAGAGACAGAAGCAGTCAGAGGCAGCGGACATAGACCCCTGGCCTGGGACCTTTGATGGGGTCTTGTCTCACCAATGCCTCCACCGGCGCAGGAGGTAGAGGACAAAGACGAAGCCAAGCAGGAGGACCCCTGAGGCCCCCAAGATACCAGCCAGGCCTGCCCGCCAAATGGGGGCTGGAGTTGGGGCAGGGTGCCCTGGAGACAGAGGGAGGTATCAGACAAGTAGCCGGGCTGAGACCCTCTCTGATCCCTGCCCCTCTTCCCAGCCCCACCTTGGTCTGAGCTGGCCAGAGGGTTCGCACAGCCCTCGTGGGAGCCCTCGGGGTAGAAAACAAACTTGCAGCAGAAGGTGGGGTTGGCCTGGGGGCTTTGCACCTCAGCCCCTTCCAGGGTGAGGGAGACGCTGCTTTCGTTTAACCAGCGGGCCTGGCGAGCAGGGGCCCACTGGCGAACTCCAAATTCTGGGTGCAGCACAGCCAGCTCAGTTGCTTGGGTAGCATTGGGCTCCCACCAGCTCACAGTCACCAGGGAGACGAAGCCAGGCCCCAGGAACCCACAGCGGACAGTGAAGGTCAGGAGCTCGGCGGCCACCATCTGCACTTGCACCCACAGCGTGGGGGTTCCTGGAGAACGGGGCAGGAAGGTCAGTGGGCTGCGTCCCACACTGCGGGCTCCACAGCCTCTGCCTCTCTCTGGCCTCGTCACTCACCTACACAGACACAGAGGGTCAGCAGCGAGCAGAGCAGGACCAGGGACATCACTCCAGCAAGGCCCAGGCTGTGGTGGCTGCAGGGATGGCCCCCGTGTTCCGGCTGTCACTGCAGGAAGTTTCTGTGCTATTAGCAGGCTGCGGGACTTGGTCCCCCACAGCCTAGCCCCACTTCCTTCTCTCCCACCTCCAGGTGGAAACACAGGGTGACAGGTCCTCCCCCTTAAAGTGACAGTGACAGGGCTCGCTGTCCCCAAGGGCTGCGCTTCCAAGTGAGCCTTTGGGGTGACTGGGTTCCACCACAGCACCAGGGTGCCAGCTGTGCCACACGCTGGGGAGTGAGGGGTCGGGGCAGAAGCCCTGCGGGGGATGCTGAAAAGCAGCTCCCTCCTGGGGAGGGAGGGCGCCTGGCTGCTCAGGAGGACGGAGACTCTGACCCCTCAGCCCACACCCTGCCTGCTAAGAGGGACTCAGGAGCAGGAAGACCCTGTAAACAGCAAAGTCAGCAGGAACCACAGCGATCAGGCCCAGTGCGACCCAGCACACATCTGAGGTGGCCTCTGACGCTATTCCAGCCAGCTGTCCCACACTAAATCTGCCTCCTGGCCTGTATCTATGGCCTGTGGCACACACACAGCTCCCAAATGCCCACACTAAGCTTCCTTCCCTCCTCTAGGCCCATTGTACCCATTTCCAGCTGCTCAGGCCCAAAGTAGACCCCTGTGCTCTTCTGTCACCTCCACCCATCATGACATCCTGCTGGCTTCCTGCGTTAACCGACTAACTACCTTTTATTACTCCCACTGCCATCACTATGTCCTTTACATCATCTGTCTGGAAGCATCAGATACTGAAGAAGCAGCCTAATATCTCCTCACACCTGCCTTGGTCTCCCTAATGCAGCAGTCCACGTCACCGCTGGGAAGCCCATGTCACACAGGCCCCTGCCCCTCTCCCCAGCCCACGGCCCTAATTCCCTCACAGCCAAAGCCTCAAAGGCCCTCCTTGACCTGGCCACCTCCCTCTCTGTCCTCCCTCCTCTTTCTACCTCAGCAGTGTACCTGTTTGTTGAATTGGAGGTGACAAGGACAGGCTGGTCTTTGCCTGGCAAGGTGTGGATGGAGAAGCAACAAGAGACCCCCTTGAGGCCCTTAAGCCGCTACCACAAGTCCTGTTTTTTCTTCCCACAAAGTTTGGCTCCAAGTCTCTGCCCTGTGGCTGTTCCTCCACAGAGAACTACTGCTGCAGGTGCAGTGGCAGGTGACCTTGTGCAGGGGTCAGCATGCTTTGTGTGTGGTGAGCCTGAATCCGGTCAGCATCAGAGCCCAGCCCCCATCCCAAGAACTATTCTCGGGCAGGGGTGATGGAACTGGAGAGTTGGCCCAGTCCTGTAAGTTCTGATGCACTGTGTCAAAAATGCAGCATTTGCGGAGAGAGGATGTGGCTTAGTGGCACAACACTAGCCTAGCCTGGGTGAAGCTCTGGGTTCCGTCCTCAGCTTCCATCCTGAAAGAAAAAAAAATCAAACAAGCATTCAGCATGTCCAACTCTGTGGTGTTCATTAAGTCAGTTTGGCTCGTGGGCAGCTGTCAGCTGGTCCTTCCCCAGGCCTGCTGAACCAGCCTTCACAGGCGCCTAACCAGCGGGGCCTCCGAGCATTTGCCCCACCAGGCCTGGCCTGGTCAGCATGATCTTGACCCTCGGACCTTCTCCAAGGCCCAAAGCACGTGCATGTACTTTCGTCACTTTCTGGGCTTCTGTGTCCACCTGGTGGGTGTGAGGCTTGTGCAGTGCTGACTCACTTCAAGGTGGTCCAGCCTGGCCAAGTGGATGCAGGTTGCCTGGAGTCCATGGGGCTGCTGGCCATAGCCTCCCTGGTCTGGAAGACTCTGTCTCCCGCCTATGCACATCCTACCTCTGCTGCAAATCCCACCACCTCCAGGAAGCTGTCTCAGCATGAACTCTTCCTTCTCGGACAACCTAGTGCCACAGGAGGGCAGGGCTCCCACCGCCAGGCTCTCAGCAAATGTGGGCAGAGGCCAGGCATGGGCGTCTTCACAGGGTGCTGCTAGGCCCAGGAGGAAGTCTCTGCTTTTTTTTTTTTTATCAATACCTACACAAAGTATAGACAGGGAGCTCAGAATTTATTCATGGGATTAAAAGTCATGGCACAAAGCTACTCACCAAAATTCTCAATGTTTTTCAATCTTGGGGCTGGGTATTTAGCTCAGCAACACAGCACCTGCCTGGCAAGCGCGAGGTTGTGAGTTCGATTCCCAGTACCGGGTAAAAAAAAAAAATAACAAAAAAATTTTTTTTTCACTCTTGTAAATCACCGTTGTTCCCTTAGTAAGTTTTCATTGGTAAGATCCAAACAATATAGAATAAAAAAGAATCACCATTTTAATTTCTGGAGGTCAAAGCTATCAATTTACCATTTCTGGATTTTGTATGTTTAGGAAAGCTAAACTATAAAAACATTTTTTAGTGTTTTGTATTTATGCTTAACTGTATGGAGAAGGTTTTTTGTTTTTTTTTTAGAGTTTATTAGCTAATGAATACTTTCTGTAGTACTGGGATATAAGCCTAGGGGCACTTCCCCAGCTCCTTTTTTGTTTTTTAACCTTTTATTTTAAGACAAGATCTTACTTAGTTCTTCAGGCTGGCCTCAAACTTACAGTCCTCCTTCAGCTTCCTGAGCATCTGAGATTTGAAGAGTGTGGCTTCTTAAGTGAAATAAATCCGACACATATGTGTAAATACTGCATTGTTTCTCTGGTGTGAGAAACAAAAAGTGTAAACAAGGACCAAAATGTATAACAGGTATTGTGAAATAGGAAGAAAATGTTCAAATGGGGAGGGGAACAAGGGAGGAGGAAGGGGGAAAGGAAAGAAAGGAAAAGTAAACAAAAAGAAAAGAAGGAACAATAGAAACAAAGCTTTTTAAATGGAGAGGAGAAGAGGGATTGAAGAGAGGGTAGAGGAATGGGAAAAAAAGAATCAGGTTGTATCAGGTACAGGTAAATTCTCTATGATGAATCAGATTCTCTATGATAAATGTGATCATTATGTATACCTAACATGTACCAATAAAATCTGATTTTTTAAAAAAAAAAAGTATGGCAGCATACCCAACTCAATAAACACTCTTCATCTAGAAGTGGTGTAAAACATCTATGTACCATTTTAAGTGGAGAGCCAGATGGCTGCAGGCCATTTATTGATTAGGCTCTTTAACTGTTTCAAACTGATCAGAAAAACCGGGCTTGGTAGCACATGCTTGTAATCCCAGCACTTGGGAGGCTGAGGCAGGAGGAGTGCCTCAAGTTTGAGGCCAGACTGGGCTATATATATAGTTAGTTCAGGGGCAGTCTGAACTTTACAGTAATAACCTATCTCAAAAAGACAAAGCAAACAACAAAAAAGATCAGAAAATGAGTTTGTAACAGTTCTTACAAATGGGTCTACTTCTTGCTTCTCTTTTTTGATATTTCCATTGATTTATTCTTCCTTCCATACCACATGGTCCTACATAGGTCATTTGTTGTTTTGATGTTTGTGAGGCCCAAGTCCTTTCTCAGAACTTATTGGCTGCACCTGAGCAGTCTCCAGACTTTTAGCTCCAGATACACAAGAGACTAGGAAGCCTAGCAAATATAAGCCCTGTGTCAGTGGGCCTGCATTGCTGCCCACTTGGCCTGAAGGTATAGACAAGATGATGCAGTTCTGGCAATGGTCACCTCTTGCTGGGACATTTTTTTGGTGAAGTCCTTGCAGCACAACCCAGGGCTCCTGCACTGAGGAAGCATGTGTGGTCAGCCTGTTTCTTGGTCTATGAGCTCAGAAACAGCTGCAATTTCAGAGCTCTGCGAACTTACATAAGACAAAAATACCTCCCATACAGCTGTATACCAGCAGCAATGATGCCGTCTGCTTCCCAGGGTGACTAGAGTTTGAAGAGAAGATGAAGGCTGTCACTGTGGGTGGGATGCTATGCCCAGCCTGGGCCAGGCCTCCGTGAAGGTTGGGGACCATCCTTTTGCATGAGTTTCCTTGAGTTAAGTTCATTCTCTCCAGGACATTGGGATCAATTTTCTTTGGGGCTTGTGTGGAAGAGCTGACAACACACAGTGTTCAGGATCATCGCCGTACCTTCCTGATAGGCTGAGTGGATGTCAGCTTCCCCACCTCTGGTACAACTGTCTCAGTTCAGGCACTGCTTCTGCAGAGGCCTTGGTCGGGGAAGCAACCACCTCCACCTTGGGCAGCCCCCGTTCCTCCAGCTGGGTCAAATGCAGACAGAAACCCGGACAGACCATTTGACAAACCTCAGTTCCTGAGGCCCAACACAAGGTTCCGGAGGGCCTCCTCTGTCCACAGAGAAAGTAGCATGGCTATATTCACAATGTCTTTGAAATCATAACGAACAGTGCTTTCCCCTGTATTTCTTCTCTGCCTTCCTTTCAAGCAAAGCTGTCTCTGAGAAAGACGTGACTTTGGCGGCGCTGTGACTGGGGTGGGAGAAAAGCAGACAGTGTTGGCCGTCTCCCTGGATTTTAGGTTCAAACACCAGCCTTCTTATGGAATCTGAGAGAACTCATGGTTCAGATAAAATGTTTGCAAGAAGCCAGGGAAAAGAAGAGAGTTTATCCCACAAGCCAGAAGAGGCCCCATCCTGCATGGAAGAGGGCAGAGTCTGGGAAGCGGTAAGGACTGGGCACGCGGGCAGTGAGACCGGGCAGATTCCTATGGCCACATCTGGCTCATGCTGTGTGGGCAGAGGACCAGAGGCTGCCTCCCTCCCTCACATGCCTTGGCACTTGACACTTGAGACAACCTCAGGGAAAACGAAGGCAGCTGGAAGAATCAGGAGTTAAATTTTCCACCAGCAGGGCTGGAGAATAGCTTGGAATTATAGAGGAAAATAAAGCACGGTTCTGGCCATCTGAGCTTCAGAGAGAAACTCATAATTGTTACATTTATTTTTGCACATTTTAAATATTGTGGAAAAGGCCACTTGTCTGATGCTTGTAATTACATTTTACCTTTTATCAAAGTAATATAAATAACAGGTAAAAGTGTATATACTATATGCTAAATTTGAGTGATTCACGTTATTTCTAAGCTCAACCGTCACTTTCTGAGAGAAATAACATGCCCAGGGTAAAAAAGCTACTATACAGTGAAGCTGGATTTAAACCCTGACAGGAACTTTAGCATCAGGATGCACAATATTATCCAGTATGCTGAGCTTCCTCTCCCACACAGTTAAAAAATCAAAATTGAAATACAAGGCGGTATCAACAAACAGCAATCCTCTGCCCTAGCCATGGAGACGCTGGCTGTGGGCTGAGCCTTCTCCATGTCTAGGCCAGGGCGCCTCCCTTGTTTCCACAAGAACTCAGAGGCTACTGCAACAGGGCAGGCCACTCTTTTGGCATCTAACTGTACCATTTGATTCCTTCACTGGTTACAGTCTACCATCAAATTAAATGCATATGCCCTCTGCTTTCCGCAGATCATGGGCGCCCTTGCACACTAACATTATAGCTTCCCTGGCTTTATCTTGGGGGAGTTCTGTAATTTCTCTGTTCCTTCCTGACCACAGATCTTTGGTGGTGTTTCTCCACGTCGTCCAGATCCAGCACACACTCAGGGTTTCAGTGAGTCCGCACTCAGGTGACTTGTTTTATGAATTGTTGAGATTGCAATAGAAATGTTCCTCATTTAATGACCCACCTGTTTAGCGACTGCTCAGACTTACAACCTTTGTACACTTCTGTACACCGTTTTTAGAGCCGCAATGTTTTTTTGTGTATAGTACACCTTGTTTATACGGTAATTTTTGCTGTGCAGGAGTACAGTTTCATTCATTGCAGTAATCGTGTAAGAGTTATGCAAATAAAGGCAAAGACATTCAGTTGGAGGTTCCTCTTACCACTTTGTTCTGGATGTTGTAATGTACATGCCACATAGAATTCCTCATTCAAGAACAAATTCATTTAATGACCTAGTCACAGGGACTGAACTCTGTAACTAAATAAGGAATGTGTGTATTTCATCCTGGCCCAGGGAAGGGTCTAAAAAGCTCAAGACAGACTTCCAAATGTCTACATTTGCAAAGGTTGTGCAGAGGCCTCTCTGGATCTACCTGAGGTAGCCTGGGCTTGGGTCCACCGTGGCCTGCTCCTGTGTCAGCCGGCAGGGGGCAGACCTGAGCTCCCTAGTGTTGGACAGGAGCCCTTAGATGATAACATATCTACTGCCATGCAGGAGAAATGATCATTTCTAACTTTGTAAGATAAAAATAAAGTCTTACTAAGTGTCACTGGCATCCCTTTTGAGTCCCAAGTGTCATGATATGATCAGCAGCTTGGGGGCACAGAGACAAACTCACAGATCATTAATGCAACTGAAGCTTGCATGCCACGGGATTTACTAGCTTTGGGGGTCCCGGTGTGCATCCCCTATCAGAATGCTGCCATCCGTACCTGGAAATCATTCTCTGACCCATTTCCACGTTTTCCAAGAGAAGGAGTTGGTGGATTCTGAACTCCTGCATTAAAGCACTAATGCAAAGTTTATGGAGTTCTATGTTCTGCAAGTTACAGAAGTTGGTAAAACTATATCAAAAACCTTTAACCTAGTACTTCAGAAAGTGCTAAAACATGATTTTAAAATGTTTCTGACTTTAAAACCTTTTAGAGCAAAAAGTTATTTTGGACTATTATTAATCAGTAAATATTTTAAAGCTTATTTACTCACCCATTACATTTCAAAGGAGTTAATGTTTACATAATTTAACTGATAAAGATGTCTAAACTTCTGGAGTCACATGACTCAGGTTCTGTTCCAGTTACCATGACAACAACGTCTAGACTTGGTAGTGTAAACCACCACCACCCCATCTTCTTGTACTCATGGATTCTGTGGTTAGCATTTGGAAAGGACACAGCAAACACGGCTCTGCTCCCCTGGATCTTAGCTAGTGCAGCTTCAGAGCTGGGGGCTAGAATCACCTGATCCCCATCTGGAAGACATCTGGCAGTTGATGCTGGGTGTTGGCTGGAATCTCAGGGAGGGCAGTTGGCTGAAGTACCTGCTCATGGCCTTGCCATGTGGCCACTCAGGCCTTCTCACACTATAGTGGCTGGGCTCCAAGACCTACCAGCTCATGAACTAGGAAGCAGAAACTGCCAGTACCCTTAAAATGTGAATTTGCAACTGGTATAGCACCATTTCCACTACATTCTACTAGTCAAGCAATCACAGAGCCCATATTCAAGGGGGAGGACCCAGACGAATCCCCTTTTTGAAGAGTGTTGAAGAATTTGGAGAACATGCTATAAAATTCTGCAAATTCTGAGGCTGGGGCTCAATCTACCATACTGGGCTGTTTGGCTGCATATGAATGTCCATATTCACAAAGCTTCCACATCTCATTTTTCATCTTTGAAGTACCCTTAGTGCGGGCGAGGTGGTGCAGGCCTGAAATCCCAGCACTTGGGTGGTGAAGGAAGGAGAAACCCCATGAGTTCAAGGCCAGCCTAGGATACATAGTGAGTTCAAGGCCACTCTGAACTATACAGCAAGACCCTGTCTCATAAAACAAAACAAAAAAAAAGTATCTTTAGCTTGGCTGGTATTTAAATACCTCAGGAATCTTTCCTTTCTTGGATTGTTAATGCCTTCCACATCTCCAGCTCAGTTTTTCCACTGTTTCCAGCTCTCCATGGAACTATTCTACTTGAACACAGGCCTAGGTCTCTGAGTGGATCAGCTGCCCCAGGGCACTGGCAGGCTTCCCTTCAAATAGGAAACTCCCACTTCAACTACAGCTTTTACCTGGGAGTAAGACTGGAGGAGAAGATGGGAGCAGTGGGAGGTAGGGAGAAACGGTTCTGGCTGGGTGAGCGGCCTGATGACTAAAGTCATCCCTCTTTTTGCACAGCAGGCTGGATGGCTGTTTCAGCCTGGAAGACCACAGTGGGAACCTATAATTGAAGAGGTGCCCAGGATGGGGACATATTGGAAATCGTATCTAAAAAGAGAAGCTGAAGGGATCCCTTGAGCTACAGAAGAAAACAGTGAAAGCCGAAAGAGACCCAGCAGTCTTCACACCTGTGGCTGCTTGTCAGACGGAAAGGGGCAGAGAGGTCCTGTACTGCTGCAAAAGGCAAAACAAGAACTACGGGGCAGGTCCCAGTTTCAAGGAGACGGGTCTCCGGAGGCAATTCTGTGGCAATCTTGGTGAGGGACGGCAACGGCGATGAGAACAGGCCAGAGACATGCTCTGAAGAACTGCGTGGGCAAAGCAAGGTTGAAGGCAGGGTTTAGGCTTTTGTCTGGCTTGGACATCCAGAATAACTTCTCAGTTTCTTAACTCTCAGTTATTTTGAGTCCATAAAATTCTAAATTATGACAAATGCCTTCGGGGTGAGAAGGTGAAACTACCCTGGGAACAATCAGGTGAGGCCTACCAACACACTGGGGCTGGTCTGGCCTCAACAGGTGTGACAGGCAGTTTTACGAGGTCTCTGCCCCACCTGCCAGTTACTTGTGCCACCTCCCTGCACCCCAACTCAAACCATCACCACTCCTTCAACTGCTCAGAGACAGCCAGTCTCTCCTTTCTGCCTCTGCCCCTCCCCTTTCTTACTGAGCAGTACATCCTGGAGATTCAACAGACAAAGGCCCCAGGGAAATCTAGGGCTAAGTGTCAGGCAGCCAAAGAACCTGACTTCCATCAGCACACAATCTCAAGCCACACCCGGAAAATGACTGATTCAAACATGTTTACTGAGCTACCACTTGGATTTGGAGACTGGGAAAGAAGTCCCAAACAGATGGGAAACTAGGGGCTCATTTAACCCAGGGAGCCAGTGCCCTTCTCCAATGTGGAGGCAAAGCAAGCTCCACTGGACTCCGAGCACAGCAGAAACAGACAGAGGGTCAGCATCACGGTGCATCAGGGAGGGCAGGGACTCTTGGTTTCGTTACACCACTGGAGAGGAAGGCAGGTTAGAACGGCAAAGCCACCTCCCCACTCCATGGTGGGAGCTGAGCCTGCAAGGAACTCTTCACTTTGCTGTTTCTTCCTCTTTTCCTTTTCCAAGAGGTCACGTCCTTGGGGGTGGGAAATGGTGGAGGGAGGGGCACAGGGTGCTGTTAGAAATCCTGTAATGAGAAGGAAGAAAGGAAGACAGTCACTGCAACAGACCAAAGGGCAGACAGAAGATTGCGCCCGCAGCCCATTCTAACTACCCCTGCTAAAGCTCCAGAGACGCCCAGAGGGCTGCCCCAGGGCTTTGGCCTTCCTGTCCACTTGGCAGGTTGCCCAGCGGCATTTCTAAGGACACACAACCCAGCTCCGCAAACACTCACCTCTATGTTTAGCTCTGTAGTATCCAATAGGTCCAGTCCGTTTTCACTGAGGGAAGAGTGACTACCATGATGCTGGAAGAAATGGGGTCACGTCAGCAACGTGTCTCTTCACTTTCTCCCACAAAAACAGCAGCACTGCTCCCAGTGCAGGTATGTAGGAACAAGCTGCAGGGGCTTCCCATCAGCCATTACACAAGCACCTGCTGTCTGAGCCTGCCAACTGAACTCCTTAAATACATTCAGTTTTGGAGCCAGAGAATGGGATTCTCCAAGGACTTTAGGATAGACTCTGAATAGAGGCCTTGCTTGCTGGTCTCTGGTATGAGGATGTCACTGTTTGAATTTTCCTCTGAGCACAAGGCCTCCATTCTCCTATTTTATTCTGTTCTTTCCCCTCCCCAAAGCAGAAAGAGAGGAGAAGGGTAAGAGGAAGACACATAGTTTGGTTTGGACTGAAATGTCTGTGTTACCCTTGAAGCCAGATGTTGAAATCCTAACCCTCAAAACGACAGGCAGTATTAGGAAATGGTACCTTTGGGAAGGGATTACGTCAGACAGTGGATCCCTCGTGAATATGATCAGTTCCTAAGAAGCCAGAGTGCTACCGTAGTCTTTTCTCCATGAGAGCAGGGGAGATGTCAGGCCGTGTGCAACCCACAGAGGGCGCACATCAGAACCTGACCATGTTCACTCTGACCTTAAGACTTCGGGGCTCCCTGGGTCTCCCTGGACTTCCAGCAAATATCTACTGCTTATAAGCCACCAACCTATTTATGTTACGGCAACAGGACCTAAGACACACCCCTCTGCAGTTTATAAGGTGCTGTACGTGGTAGTGTGCGTAAAAGCTCCATTGTAAAGATGAGCAAACAAAGAATGAGAAGGGGTAATGAGTTAATCTGATGTAGAACTGAGGACGTGCACTCAGGTCACCTCACTCCAAGCTCTGCACCCTCTCCCTACTACACTGGAGCATTCCTCCGGGGCAAGCAAGCAGCCCGGGAGTGAAGGAGACAGGAGGGAAGGAAGGGGCGTGGCTGTGCTGGGGAAACTACATGAATGCCCTGACAGCAAGGACGGTGGACCTTCCATGCCTGGCTCCAGGGCTCCTTCCAATTTAAATGAGGTTCAGAGTCACCAATACTTACTTCGTTGGAAAGGGAAAGTTTTTATAATCTTTTCTGGTATTTTTAATTTATTTTCCTTATTTCAAAAGTAAAGTCCAAGAAAAGTCCACAGCAACTCACAACCTTCCTCTTCTATGATTCTTTGAAAAGGTCCTCAGTAACGTTCAAAGCCAAAGGCATCACCAGGGCTGAGGGAATTCCTGTGCTTCTCCCACCTACCAGCTGCCAGCTCTAGAGCGAAGAGGGAATCTTAGATCCACACACCTTCTTTGTATCCCGCCATGCTTCACTTGATTCATCCAGACTTTCTAGCTCTTCTTCATCCTCTTCCATAAGGCTGAGTCTACAGATAATGGCAAAGAGCAGATGTTTCCCCATTCCTTAACGATTCCTGAGTTTCCCAGAGGCACCAGGAAAGAGAGGTGGGCAGGACATAAAGCAGGAAGTAAGTTTTAGGCTCCCACTCCTGCCTCAGTAGGAGCACCTTCCTGCATTCTAGGGCTTCAGATTACACTGCAGCAAGTGTTCTGGGGCTCAAATTAGTCCAAAAGAGGCTGGCAGAAAAGCACTGGGTAAGGTTAGAATCTCAGGAGGAGTGACAGACGGGAAGTTAAGATAGAAGATGATGAAGAAAAAGCTCACCGAGTCAGCTTGTTGTCCAGACCAGTCCCTGAAGGGTTGCGTGGAGTCTGGAAATACTGTGCACCTGAGAACCTTGGCCTCTGGGTACCTGAGAGGAGCCGGCTGTTGAAAAAGAAGCAGAATCAGTGACAAGGAATAAAAAAGTAAAGGATAAAAAGAAGAGGCATTAAAGAGAGAAAAGCTCAGAGTGTAAGGAGAAAGAGACATCATAAAGCTAAAAAAAATATAGACAAGCATTAGAGAAGAAAATAGGTAAGTATCAGAGAAGCACTGGAGGAAGTAGGTGTGCTTCAGGGAGAACGAAGAGAACCACCAAACCTAGGACCAGTCTCCCCTCAGCCTTACCTGTGCGTGAACTCTGATTCCAAGCCTTCTTCTTCTTTGGCTTCCCCCAGCACCCCCAGGGGCTGCTTGTTCTTCACAGCAGTGGAGGTGAGGGTGGGTGTGGGTGGGACACTGTTGAGCTGCAAGCTTTCTTCCTGACCTGCTCCCTGATGCTTGCTGGGACCTGAAAGGAGGTAGATGTGTAAGGCAGATTGACCAGGCACCTATCAACTCTATTTAATTTTTAAGGCCAGGATTTATTAAGGGAAAGTTAAGCAAAAGAGAATGGAAAACCTATATACCCTAATTCTGTTCTACCTCAAAAATGATCGGAGTTCTACTGAATGCACAGCCCCATGTACTACCATATAAGGCTTGCAGGAGTGTATCTGGACCTTGTTCAAGAACAACTCACTATACAGCTTAGAAAACAAGACAGAAAGAGACACTGAAGCATCCATCTCACAGACAAAAAGTAACAAGCAAAGATAAACGTGGAGAGGGAAGGATTCACTAAGATGGAAAGGTCTGAATCAAGCAAAGAGGACATCGGAGATCCTATCAATTCTAGAGTTCTGTAGTCAGAAAAAGCTTTAAAATACCAACAATTTGGGGGCTAGAGGCTACAGTGGATGGATGAACGATAGAGAGGAACAGAAAAATGGAAGACAGAACTTTCTAAAAGCCGAGAGAGACACAGAGACAGAGAGACAGAGAGATGCAATGTCATTGTAACTCTGGTGGGAAGGCTGAGTGGAGGACCTGCTGTCCTCTGCAGACTGGAAAAGGCAGAGGTAGACAATTCCAAAGATTATTACCTGAGGTTCTCTTTCTCTGAGAAATCCCAGAAGATGCTACTTTAAATGTAAAAATCAAGTGGATTAATATCTATCTATGTTAAATATTCATGCCTCCATCACCCTCCTTCTCCCAGGTATGTTTACAATAGAAGTCAACAACCCAAAAGTAAGTCACGACTGATTCATGCAAAGGGCTACAGAAAATGGGGGACCTGCACTCATGAGCTTGTACAAAGAGAGGACACCTGGGGCCCTCTCATGGATCCTTTTAACCTCCACTGTCTATTAATGGTGTAAGAGACCTGTCCTCCACCTTCACTGGCTTCCTCGACCTTCAGGTTCATGTCTGTAAATATGACCTATATTCTGCCAGCTCCCAGCCTTTAATTTTTCCCTGAGGTCTGGCTTCTGATTCTCAGTTGTCAGCCCAATATCTGCATATGGAAGAATGTGGGTAATATCAAAGCCCTGGCCTTACCCCATGACCTAACCTGCTCACGGCCTCCCCAGTTCAGACAATATCAACTTTATTCATTTAAATTTCTGGAGCTGGACTCCTCTCTCTTACACCCAATTTCCAATTTGTCAAGGAATTCTATTAGAGACACCTCAGAAATGCATCTAAAACCCAGCCGGCTATTCCACACCACCTCATCGTCATCCCTGGGCTGTGCACTCTCATCTGTTAGGGTGCCTCCACCAGCATCCTCACTGGCCTCCTGGCTCCTGTCCTTGCCCTTCTATGTCAGTTCTCAGCATAGGAGTCAGAGGGATCCTTGGTAGACACAGGCAGATCCTGTGACTCCTCTGCTCAAAATCTTCTGATGGCTTCCTGCTCCACTAAGAAATGCCTGAGTCTTTACTCTGCCTGAAATATTCTGGGCTCCTGTGACCTCTTTGGTCTCACATCCTTCATATGCTACACTCTAGCCATGATGGTCTCCTCGGCTGTTCTGGAGCATCCCTACTCATGTCACGGCCTTTGCACTGGCTCCTCCCTTCTGTTCTGACAGGCACCAGGCGTCCATTGTCAGACCTCTGTTTTACAATCAGTTGGGAGGCCATCAGACTGAGATGGCTCCAGTACTTTGGGTTCCTTCTTAAGCAATCCCAAACCCAATTCAGAGTTAATGTGCATAGTTTAGGAGAAACTTAAGCTTCACCACTCAGAAACCACTATTTAACCTCTAAATAGACTTTCTATTTAACCAATCAAGTATCTTCTTTGCCTTACTTCCGCAAGCACTTTACAGAAGTTTTCCCCTCAGGTCCCTTGGTGGATGGAGTCTCTAAACCGTTTCCTGTCTGGTGCTTACTCATGGATAAGTCACTGCTCAAATACAGTAAAATTTTAATGTGTCTAAATTCTCCTTTTGACATCTCCTTCAGGTTTTAACATTCACGCTCTCTGTAAGGCCTTTGCTGTCCCCTATCTTTATAAGCCTGAAACCTTTTCCCCCAGAATTCTTTTTCTCCTTCCTGCTTTTTTTGGTCATAGTATTTATCACTACTTGACACTCTGAAGATGTTTTGTCTTTGCTTACTGCTGAGTTCTCAGTGTTTGCTTAATGAATGAGAGATGCAATATTTTCAGTTTAATCTCACCTTTACAAATCCTCTGCCTCCCGCCACACAACTATGGTTTGGCCAACACATACTTTTTATGCTGCATGTGTTAATTCTGTTGGCCCTTGATGTTCATTCTTTCTCTATCCATCTTACATAAATCGTATTCATTTTTAAAGCTCCAGCTTAAATTCTTTCTTTACCTCCTTGGTAAAGCCTTCACAAATCAACTAAACTTAAAGTGGTACCTTCCTCCTCTGAATTCCACAGCATTCATTTGTACAAAGCTTGGGTAGTAATTTATTGGCAAGTTTTCACAACTTAGATTTTTCTCTAAATGTAGTTCTTCTCTTTCTAATTAGATGGAAAGCTGCTTAATATGTTCCTGCTAGTTTGAACCCCTGCTGGTATATGCATGACTGTACCATTGGGCAGCTCATACCACTGGTGGTACAAATGGACCAAACCACTTTTACTGGCCTTTTCCTAATAGAATTAATAAAAAGTTGCCCAACGAGACAGTCATGCATGTACCACTGGTGATTCACTCTGCTTGGCAATGAGACACAAATTATGGCCTGTCAAGAAGGTGTTAAGAAGCCTCCGTGATAACACACCAAACACATCATCTTGTACTTTGTAGGTCCTTAATAAATATTTATCTGTTACTTGACTAAAGCAGAGTTTCCTCGTGGTAGCAGATATAATTGTAGGTGGTGTACATAAGACATTTAAAATAAATCACACCCTATACAGAAATTAACTAAAAATGATTCACAGACCTAAATCTAAGAGCCAAAACTATAAAGAAGACCTCTAAGAAGAAAATGTAAGAGTATGCCTTTATGGTGTTTGGATAGGGCAGTTTCCTTAAGGAAGGACGACAAAGCACAAGCAACAAAAGAAAAGATAGGTAAGTTGGATTTCATTAAAATTAGTATCTTTGTGTTTCAAAAGATACTATCAACATTAATATCCACAAAATGTGAGAAAATTTTTACATGTGCTTGAACATGAGAAGAACACCATTAGTCATGACAGAAATGAAAATTTAAACCAAACACTTTAGTCACTAGGAGATGGATAAAATTTCAAAAGGCAGACATTAACAAGAACTAGTAAGGAACACTGGTCATGAAGTAGAGAATCTGGAGTTCACCAAACAATCCTGGTGCGACAGTTAAGTGGTATAAGCACTCTAGAAACAGTTTGGCAGTTCATCAAAAAGCTAAATGAAGGAGTTGCTACTGTATGACCCATCAATTCCTCTCCTAGGTATTTCAGTTCTCCCTTGAGAACTGAAAACAGATGTTCACCCCAAAACTTGCACATAAACCTTAATATCACCGTGTTTAACTGTCAGGAAATGGAAACAACTCAAGTGTCAATCAGTTGATGAATGGATAAAGTATGGTACAGTACAGCCATACAAAGGAATATATTCTGCTACAAAAATGAGGTACGCACTAAAACATGGATAAACCCTGAAAACATGCTGAGTAAAAGAAATGAGACACACAAAGCACCATTTACATGGTTCCATTTAGATACTGTGTCTAAAACAGGCAAATTCAGAGACAGGAAGATTAGTGATACCCACTGGGTTATATCCTAGAAATACATCCTACAATATCCTACCCACTAGGGCTGGGGGGATGAGGAGAATAAGAAGTGACTGCTAACAGGTAGTACACGCTTTCTTCTGTAGTGATGAAAAATGTTCTAAAAGTAGGTAGTGGTAATGGCTGCACAGCTTAGTAAATATACTAGAAACCATTAATGTATATACTTCAAAAGGGTAACTGTATGGTATGTGAATTATATCTCAATAAACCTATAACATTTAAAAAGTCCTATTTTAAAATACATAGTAGAAAACAATACATCAAACTAGTTTCTAGGATATTATCACTTAACATGACACTATGTTTAAAAAAAATCAAAGAAAAACTATGTAAATTTTAAGGCAGGTGGTAATCAGAAGGCTAAAAAAAAAAATCACAGGTGGTGCAAAAAATCTTGAAAATAATGGAACACAAGGTGTGTGTAGGGGACTTCAAATTACAGATTGGTTAATTCAATTTTGGTTCTATTGTAGTTTATTTCATTTTTCATATAGGTTTGCTATATTTAGTTAGCGAGCTAAACCTTGAAGCAAAGTATTATTAATTCTAGTAGATGCTTAATGAAATATTTGACAGAAAGAAGTTGGATTCAGATCAAAGATTATCTCTTTCGGACCCAAGCAGTGGCGACCAGGCCCACCATGCCAAGCATGCTGATGCCGACCCCCAGCCATCTACCTTCAATGCGCCTCCTCTTGGAGTGAGAGTGGCCCTGAGGACTGGCCTCTGCTGTGCTCTCCACAGGGGTGAGAGAGCGGCGGTAGGTAGTGACTGGACCCCAGGGACAGCCAGGTGTTTGGGGGACACGCTGCAGACACTTTTCCAGGTAGGACAATCTAAGGGAGGGATGGAGTAGAGAGGCTGAAGTGGCCACCAGATTCCCCCTCACGCCCTTCTATAATCCATACCTCTACTCATCCACAAACTTACAGCAGCTGCTTGTCTTGTTGGAAAAGGCGGGGAGAGAACTCTGAAAGGAGCTCCAAGAACACCAGATTTGGGGGCACATCGGAGGAGCCAGCTGGAGAAAGCTCAGACAAGGAGAACTTGATGCCTTCCCTTAGTTGGGCAGAATCATTTTAGGAAAACAGTCCCTTCTTCCTTCCGCCTTCCCTCCCAGGGCTGGAATATCCTGTTCACGCATATCTTTCTGTTCCCCATGTTCTCTGACAACACACCCTCCAACTTAACTGTTACTTCTTTTCATATTACGGCCCCCTTCACGACCTCATACCCCGCCCTCCCTGAACCCAGCCCCCAACCGCTGCTTCCTCACTTGTGCAGCTTGACCATGATGTCACGGTTCTGCAGTTGCTGGGGTCCAAAGCTCAAGGCAAACCTCCGGGCTAGGTCCCTCATCTCCATGAAGGCTGGCAGTTCACTTAGACCCTGAGGTCCCCGCTCCTGAAGCAATTCTGTGTATAGCTGTGTCCAGGAGATGTGGAAAGTTTGGGGAAGGGAGGAACAGGCACACTAGAGAAGCACAGCATCCCCTTCTCTACTCAGAAATTCCAGAGGGCTTGGAATGCCATTTATTTTGTATCTTTCCTCCCAGGACACTGCCCTAACCCTGGAGCCCCTGTAGTACTGGCAGCCTTTAGTCCTGCTCTATAAAAACAAACACATCTGTAGTGACTAAAGAGGCTGCCGGGGAACAAATCACCGTCACTTCATTGTTGATGCTCCCAGGTCTTAACTCAGGGCTGATTTCTACAGGGTAGGGCAAAAACTTCCCTTTTAGAAACAGACTTTCTAGGGGTCACTGAGGTACAAAGAAGCCTGTCAAATAAAATAAAGAGTCAAAACAATAAAGATTTTGCTCCAAAGAATCTTACATCCTAAGAGCTGAAGGCAAAAATGTGGGGATAATCTGGAGGGTCCTGACAGGCTCAAGGCCCTCTGGGCACAAGCGAGTACCTGCTTGAGACTCAGCAGCAGGATTCTGGAACAATGGCTTCGGTCAATCTGCCTTGCTCTGGTCAGTGTTTCCTTGATAATGTCACCATAGTCATTATAGAACTGAGGGAGAGAAATGGAAAAGGTACTGGTTGACTGTAAGAAACGATTTTGATTTTTCTTTTATATCCCTAATCGTGCCTCCTTCCCAAAGAGCCTGGGGCAGGAAAATGTGAATCTAAGCATTAAATAACTCAGACTAGACCTTACCTTTAACCAATAGGTGCAGAGCCCCAAAGAAATCACTTTAGATTACAAATACACAAAAGAAACTCTTCCTGACCCCAATTCTTAGAGGAGTGCCAGTGTCTACTCTCAGCCGGCACTGAAGTCTGTGCACTTTTCCCCATCAAAAGGAAGCTCCATGGAGCAGAGACTGTGTTCTGTTCACTATGTCCCCTGTGCCTAGAATGCTGGGTACACAGCAGCTCACTAATGGAAATGAGTCCAGTCATGGGTTAGGACTGAGCTACTCACTATGTGTCCTGTGAAGACTGGGCTCTCCCTCCATTGTTTTTTTTTTTTTTCCCTTCTTATATTATTCCAGTCTGTAGACTGGGTTTGAAGAAAAACCAATTTTCAGGTAGGAAGAATAATCTATTTTCCCTCCAGTGAATGCAAATTTCTTAATAGCTTGTTCTCTATATTTACTATAAAGTCTCTTTCCCTTGTCCCTTTATTCTAAACTCCTACTACCATTCCCTCCTCCTTCTACTTTAAGCCTGATCCCATAAGACCTATCCCACTTCCTTTCTAAAATGTTGTGTTTGAGCTCAAGGCTGTGCTCTGCTTGGTTCCCTCTCCTTTGTGTCTGCAGGGCCTCATACAGTACCTTGTTGTAGTGTTTGAAAACATCCGAGGCTGCATCCAGCTCCAGGATCCCATAGAGCAACAGCTTGCAGAACCCAGCCAGCAGGCGGCGCCGCTGGTGCAGCTGCTCTATCTGCATATGATCATCTTGGGTCTGACCTGGGCCATAAGGGCAGAATGCAAACACAGGCTTAGGCCTCTGGCCTAAATTCTTGAGCCAGACCCAGTCCCAAGCCCTCCCTATGCCACAGGCTTAGAGTCCCAGTACCACTGCCCAGGTCTCCAGACTGCAGAAAGACGTGGTCCATGAGGAAGCTGGCTAACTCAGATTGGAGCGTAGCTTCTGGCAAAAAGATGAGGGGCCTAAGGAAATCTCGTCCCCCTGCTATCATCTGAGGGCTGAAGATGAGAAGCAGATCACTCAATAAAATAAAAGCCTGTTAGGGGGAGAAAAACCAGGATGATTAAAGCAAAAGAGAGTATTTGCTAAGAATAGAATTGCACAGCTAATTTCCCTGTAGAACAAGGCATCCTCAGACCTCAGACCCGCTTCTTGCTCCCTCTTGAAACAATGCTCACCTGCTCCTGGATCACTAGATCTACATCAGAGAGACAGTTCTGGCAGAGTTCACAGACCGCCACCATCCTGTCCTTCAGACTCAACAACTGCTTCTGTGGAAACAGCGGCTTGTAGGGGGAATGAAGACATTGGCTCCTCCTTCCTCATCCCTTCCTTAGACCCATACTCACCTGGGAACCACCTGACCTTGAAATGTGAGTTAGTGTCCAGAGAACGGAGAAATAGACAAGAGTCAAGGCTGGCAGGATCACCTGTACCCATAAAATACCAGAAAAACAAGATTTGAGTGAGTAAAACGAGGGGTAGGCAGTGAGAGAGAATGAAAGAGCAGACACAGAGGAGAGGGAGAGAGAGGCTGACACATCCACAGCTGCATCTACCCATACAATAGCGAAGAAGAGAGAAAATGAGACTGGGGAAACCCAATTCCTTTTCTGGCAGAAAAGAACTGACATTTTGGACAATCTTCAGAGGCTTCTATCCTAACGTACTCAGCCTCCTAGAACCCTTCAATATCCTTTTTGTCTCTAAGGAAACCCAAGAATGATGTTTTCAGGCACTAAAACATGGTCTGCCTCCCAAGAGAGAAGTGGAAAGAATGACCCCACCTGATCATCGTCCGTGTATCTACTCCACACCCAGGGAACTGCGCCTGCCTCAGAGAGATGGGCATCTGGGACCCAGGCCCTTAAGAACACCTCTCCTGCCTCCACATCTCCACCCAGCCTGTCTACCTGCCTGGTGAGGAACCTCGCCCGTATCCACAGCCTTCCGAAGGAGACGGTAACATGGGTCATAGAGCTCCCAACGAGTCAGATCATGAGCGCTTTGGGAGGAAAGGGAAACATTATATTGGAAGAGAACCAAGGAAATCAACTCCACAGACACCAGGGGAAATAGGCAAGGGAGGAAGAGGGAGAGGCTCACTTGTAAAAGGCGGAGAGACGCTTCAGAGTAGCTGCCAGACTGTACGCCTCATCCTCATCTATGAAGGATGACTGAGGAAGGAAGAAGGCCCACAGTAGGACTGTTTCACAAGTGCACTGACCCATGCTTCCCGTGGCCCTCTCCCACTCTTGCCTGTGGTGTCCCACCATGTGTCCCAACTCCTACCTGCAGCAGTTCCTCAAGTTCCTGCTGGAAGCGGTCGGTCAATAGGTCCACTAGTTGGCTGCGAGCGAAGTCCACCCGGGTGAAGAAAGTGAACTCAGGCTTACAGAGAAGATAAAGGGCTTGTGCACCAGCCTCAAGCACTGGGGGCTCTGTGTGCTTCACCACCACGTCTTGGAGTTGCTGCAAGAGCAACTCCAGGTGCTGAGAGAGAAAGAGGAGGCAGAAGATGGTGGGTAGGTGAGAAACAGAGCAGCAAACTTCAAGGATATGATGCCTATGAGAGGAAGGGCTTTTCAATTCTTCTGGAGCCCAGGGTCTAGTAAAGAAGCAGACACTGGAAGACCCCTTGGCCCTCACAGGGGAGCAGTGAGATATAAAAGAATAGGTCTCCCTGCCTCACCTTCTCCAGGCGCCTAGTGCAGTAGATGCTCAGGTCAAAGTAGTTGAGGAGCTGCAGCAGGGGAGCAACCTTCTCTGCATCAGCTGAGAACTGTGGTGATGGAGAGGGAGCCTTATTTATTAGCAAACAGGCTGATAATTCTTCCCATTAGGAGACCACTTCCTTTCACCAACTCGCCCTAGAACCCCTCTTGCTCTACCTTGGCCAGGAGCTGGGGCAGCAGGGGGATGAGGTGCTCAGTTAGCTTCACTTTGTCATCAGCTTGGACCTTGCGTTCTTTAGCAGATAGGCCCTGGAATTAGTCACTTGGGGGTCAGGGATAGTGGGGAGAAATATTGGGTCTGGTGGTTGCATCTGTGTGTCCCTCCTCCCCATGATCTCTGCCCAGGAAGGAAATAGAATTCAGCAGTTCCTTTCATGTTTCTTTTTATGGAGATGGAATTCTCTAAGAGGGAGGTAGAATGCCCTAACTCAGGACCTAAGGATAAGAATGGACATTACATGGCTTCAGTACTGCTAATCTACCCAACCTGCCCTTCATGTCGTACCTTCCTCCCACTGATGCGCCCCACAGGCGGGTGACCCTCCACAGCTTGCCGGGCACTGGACACGAGGATTTCTATCAGCGTGTTCTCCTGCACATCACTTAGGTCTAGGTTGGCAGGAGGAATAAAGACAGCGTCACAGATCAGTCACTTTCTTTCTTGGAAGAAAGTCACTTTCCAAGTCCCCTTCTGTCCTAGGCCACCCCTCTGCTTTTCACAGATCTCCTAATTTCACAGTAGAAGGTGCAAGATCCCCATCCATGGCTGCCATATGATACGCACTCTGGTCCTTCTCCAGCAGCAGGCTTGTGAGACTCTCCCAGTCCTTTAGATGAGGCCCTGCACAGTCCCACAGGCTGTCTACTAAGTAAGCAGCATGGTCATGGAGCTGTGGAGAAGGCACTGGGTGAGTTAATGATGCCACATCAAACTGCTGCAGAACTGGAAAGCTGGTGAAGAAGGACTGCAAGTTTGAGCCTGGCCTACCCAACTCAGCAATTAACAAGACCCTGTCTCAGAAAAAGGACTGGGAATGTAGTTCAGTGCAAAGTCCCTGGGTTCAATCCCCAGTACCACCAAAAGAAAACCCCCACAAAATAAAAAACCCTCCTCCAGGAGGAAGTGGTTGCTGATAAACATCACTTTCTTCCCATAGTGCCCACCCTTCCTTCTCTACTAAGAGGTTTTATGCACAACAGCTAGACATCCCCTGCACATGTCACCTCACTCTCCATAAAGAAGTACAGAAGAAGGTGGAAGAAAGTCTTCTGGGCATGTGGACTCCGGTGTCGTTCTCTGCCACCCCTTGCTCTCATCTCAAACTCAGGGTAGAAGAGCCTGGTGGGATAGACACAAGGAAGGAGCACAGAGCAGGAGGAAGTAGGGAAGGCCAAACCACCATGGAGGGAAGCAAGGGACCAAGGAGCAGACAAAGGGGGAAAAGTGCAGAATGGAGGAAAGCCCAAGGGGCTAAGAGGAAAGAGGACACCCAGAGAGACTTTAATAGGTTTTAGGAGTCCTAGGCAAAGCAGCAGTGGATGAGAAAAAAAGAGAAAGAAGGATATAAAAGAGATGCACAAGAAGCCCCACTCACTTCCAGTACAGAAATTCCCCTGCAGCAGCAGCCAGGGCACGATGAGAAGCATACACAACAGGGTAGATGCTCTCACAGTCTGCACTGGTCAGCACGCCTTCCATGTTTCTGCCAAGAAAAAAGGAGGAAGAGCAGGTGGGTGCAGATGCTGTCCTTCAGAGCAATCAGGGTTTGCAGCTAAAACAAGGCTATGACTCACAGAGAACTTTTTTAATGAAGAGTAGAAGACAGGAGTGTGAAGAGTTAGAGAAGACAAGAAAGCTTCCCCCTTGAGATTACTCAGGCATAATCTCTGCCTTTCAACCTGCACATAAGAAAGAGTCAATTCATGACAGTTGGGGACAGGACTCTGAAGGATCTTGCCTAATGTTGTAAGTCTGAGGTGCTGCCTCCCCACTTGCCAGAACTCACTTCAGGATCAGGATGAGCAACCTGACGGCCTCCACTGCTACATCGTACTCTCTGTCCATGACCATGGAAACCATCCGCTCCTGTCAGAAGGAGAGCACCATTCTGTATCTCACTGAGCCCGTTGCAAAACATCGTATTCTTTTACAATTTGAGAGACTCCAAAGAGAGGATGCAGGAACAGCCCAACAAAAGAAAGAAATGCAGTGGGGACAGGGGAACCACAAAGCAAGGGGCCAAGGGCAGGAGCACTGTCCCCATCACACCTTGAAGCGGCTGGTGAACAGCTCCAGGCGAGCAGTCAGCCCCTGGTTGCTGTACAGCCTTTGCAGAGCTTTCAGGCAGGTCAGACGGACATCCCGGTTCTGTCAAGGAGGAACAAAGAGGAGAAGGGAACATGACCGACCACTCTTCTCACTGAGCCTCTATATACCCCTTACAGACTTCTCATTCTAGGCCCAGTGCTCTCAACACGGAAAACTTCTGAGCTGGAACAGACCATAAACAGCGGCCCTCTTACTCAAAACACAAACGAAATCACAGAAGAATTGAGCAAGCAAGAGAAAAAGAACCTCTGGCTACCAGTCTAGTATTTGTGTTATCACCAACCCGGCAATGATTTTCTTCGTTTTTCATAGGGAGTGTTTCTCCCTGTTACTCAGCTTTGAAGGCATTTCACCTCCTGTACATGTCTCTCTTCTACCTTATCCTACCATCCCCAGTACTGGCAGAGTTTCAAGGTTCATGCCTTGATGACTTGATCATTGTTCACTGCGTGAAATGTCTAAGTGGCAGGACCAGGAAAAGCTGAAGTGTCCTGGAGCAGAGATGATGAGAGGAACAGGGAAAGAGACTGACTTGGCTCTCACCTTATCATGCAGGGTCCAGCCAATATATTTTAAATAGCTGTCAGTGAGGAAAGAGGTACTGTAGCTTTGCATCCAACACCCGATCTCCTCAATGCAGATAGCACGGATTTCAGGAAGGATGTCCCTAGACAGAGACATAAACTATAAGTTTCCAAATTCATTCCCATCCTTCTAGATAGTCCTCTTTCCCAAAAGAATTTTTTCTGTATAACTTTTTATTAACATATTAAATGTACAAATTAATGGATAATGTGCACTGAGGAGTTTTTAAATGTGATTCTGGGGATTAAATCCAGCACCTTCACTAAGTTATAACTTCAGTACTTTTTTATTTTGCATTTTGAGGTAGGGTTTCACTAAGTTGCTAAGCCTATCTCAGCCTTCCACAGTGTTGAGGTTACAGGTTTACACCATGTCTCCTTAGAACTCTTTTCTTGATGGATATCAGCTACAATGACTTCCAGTTTTTCTTCCCAATGTAAACACAGTATATATATACAAGTAAACATTTTGAGTTGAACCAGCCCTGTACAATCTTGTCTTTCATACCCCTTATAAAACACTGACTTTGAAAGTTCATTTAACTGTTGACTGAAGTATGTTTTAATTTCACTTCAAGAAAAGATTAAATCAGTCACAAGACTGCAAAAGGCAGAAGCTGAAATCTAACTAATAGTGAAAAACTACTACAAATTCTTTCTGTTAAAGTTAATTCCACTTTTTTTTTGAGACAGTCTTGCTATGTAGCCTTGGCTGGCCTTGAAATCACGGAGATCTTCCTGCCTCAGCCTAAACAGTGCTGGGATTACAGGTATACACCACCATGCCCAGCCTAATTCTATCAGTTTTTAAAACAGTATAAAACTCTTTTGCCCTTAGCACAGTGAAACAAGCTGGGTTAGGAAAAGGTTTGCTAAACCACTCCTCAGAAAAGCTACTCTGTTTCTGTCCTTTCAACTCTCCAAATCCAGAAAGATGAAGGACAGGGTCAGCTAGATCCTGGGAAAAACTGGAGCAGGAGTACACTCAGAAATGCCTTAAACTCTCGTTTTCTCTCCCAGAAGAGCGTACAAGGCCCTTCGCAGGTGAGGATAAATGAAACCTTAATGTGAATCACTCATTGTTAAGAGTTTTTTCTCCAGCTACATTAGTTCTAGGACTAACCAAATAAATCAGGGTCATAGGAAGGGCCTTGTCATGTCTAGAGACTCCACAACCAAGGAGAAGCTGCTCCAGTGGGAGGAGCTTATTACCTCACCTGTACCGATGGACAAAGACACCCCTGAAGATGGCATTCATCATTCCCTCAATTTCCTCTTGATGCTCCTGGAGCTGAAGGACAGGGAAGAACAAATCAATCTCCCTTGTACTCTATCAGCATAAGTCACAAAAGATATAGAAAAGTACTACTTTTATCTTGTTACAGGACATAGTGTGAACTCCCAAATCCTATGTTCCTTTTTAAATTTTATTCTAAAAGAAGTGGTATAGTCAACTAATGTCTCAGAGATTTATTTTAGTTTGGTAAAAATAATATCCCTGTGTGTGTGTGTGGTTATTCTTGCTATTCAGAAGCCCTGACAGTATAAATGTTTTTGACTAATGGTAATAAAAAAAAGAAATTTTTAATAAATGTGGTTTGATAGAAGTGGCAGAACCAGCTAAAAGAAAAAAAGCAAGAATTTATACACATGGGTCTCTCCTGGGCTATTTTTATACCCCACAGGACATTCTGCAATATCTGAAAATATTTTTGATTGTCATAACTAGAGTAGGTAGCAGGGTACTGCTGGCTCCAGCAGAGGTAACAAATGCTGCTAAACATTCTACAAGGGCAACTGTGTCAACACTGCCATTGCTAGGAAACACTGGATTAGATGGATGATATCAAAGAAGCAGAATTATAAGGAGAAAAAGAACTTCTTTAAGACAACAGGCTCAATATCTTTAATAAATCAATACGCTGGAGGGAAATAAAGGGGAGGTAGATATTCTATATAAGATTAAAAGAGGCCAGATGTGGTGGTGCACACTTGTAATACTAGCACTCGGAAGGCTGAGGCAGGAGGGTCAGTACAAGTTCAAGGCTAGCGTTGGCTACATAGTTGGTTCAAAGTTAGCCTGAACCTCGTAGTGGGACCCTGTCTTAAAAAAAAAAAGATTAAAAGAAGCTTAAGAAATACAACCACCGAATGCAATGAACAATCCTTACTAAGATTCTGGTTGAAATTAAAAGACATAAAAGGTATCTGGGAGATAAAAGGGGAAATTTAAGTATGAATTGGAATTAAAAATATTAAGGAATTGTTACTTTTTGGTATGAAAATGGTACTGAAATTATGTAGGAATAATTAGTTTTTAGAGGACACATTTAAGTATTTAAGATTGAAGGATCAGAGTCCATAATTTACCATAAAGAAGCATTAAAAAAACCAGTAAAAATATCAGTTATTAAAACTAGATGTATATATAGTAATCAGCATACCAAGTATCTCCGCTTTTCTAATGTCTGAAATGTTTCACAATGAAGAAAAAGGAAGGAAAGAAAGAGGGAAACTGGATGATCAGTACCAAATTCTACAGAAGTCCAGAAAAGGGAGATGGAGGAAAAGATAGTACTTAGAAAGCAACTGGTTTGAAAAGTCAGTTCTTAAAGGGGATAGAAACCAGGTAGAAAAAGGATTCAGCTGGATATTAAGTGAGTATTACCCTAAAAGGAAAGATTTAGGAGTAGGTCACAGAGAAGCAGGATGAAGGAAGATGGAAGTATGATAATCATTCAAAAGCCCAGAGAAGGGGCTTGGGATTTAGCTCAGCGGCAAAAGCGCCTGCCTGGCAAGCGCAAGGTTGTGAGTTCGGTTCCTGGTACCGGAGAAAAACCAAAAAGAAAAAAAAAAAAAAAGCATAGAGAAGACAAAAAGAACTGTACTAGTGTACACTAGTCCCTCTTTATCCACAGAGGATCACAGAGGATATATTCCAATATACCCCCACCTCCACTCTCACAGTAGATGTCTAAATACCGCACATAATACCGAAGCTTATATATATATACATAGAAGTTGAGTATCTCTTATCTGGATTTGGGAGCAGAAATACTTCAGAATTTTTCAGACTTTGGAACATACTTTACTGATTGAGCAAACAAAATCTGGAAGTCCAAAATCTAAAAAAATTCCAAAATACAAAAAATTTTGAGTGTTATACTGGTGCTCAAAAAGTTTTGGATTTTAGAGCACTTCTAAATTCATATTTTTGGATTAGCAACCTGCCCTATGTTAGAAATTAGGTGCAGTAAGAGCTTAACAATATAGAACAATTATAACAATATACTTATGTTAATGTGGTTTCTCTCTCGAAATATTTTACTAAACAGTACATATTTCTGCAGCCTGGTTGACCATGACTAACTGAAACTACAGAAAGCAAGTTCACAGGTAACAGTGAATTAATACAGGGAACTGTGAATTAATATACACAGGCCTTTAAGATCATCCTGAGTGAAAAATAGCAAAACAAAATGAAGGAATAGAAAGTTTCCTTCTGTAATGTATAGGATGGAAAAGATCTTCTATGAGAGCTAGAGAAACAGCCTACTGGCACAGTTAGACATGGTGTGTCCTGGCAACTTCATAGCCAGGGAGCCTCAGATACTAACAGAAAGTGGGGAGGGAACTTCAGAGTTCTATTCATGATAGACATATCTGTTTAAAGTTTAATCAGTATAAAAGATTCTCCTAAGGCTTATGTCTTCCAGGGTCTTTAAGTTTAAAGGGAAACAAAGCAAATACCTACTATGTGCCAGACTAAGCAACTTCTCAACATCTCATTTAAATTCAAAAAATGTGGACTTACACTTTTTAAAGAAAAAGAAAACGGAAGCTTTGAGAAGTTGCTTTAAGATCATGGAGCTAGTTGCTGGCTAACTGGAACAGAACTCATACCAAGGAGTAAAAGCTAGGCCTATGCTTTTCGCATTCCTTGACAACTTGGTTTCCCTGGCCAGTGGCCAGCTTTCACTACTCTTATGGTAACTTGCACACAGTACACTTAACATGAAGATAAAAACTTCACTCTTTAACAAGCAGGTATAGCACTTAAACCCTTCTGATAAGGAATGCAGACAACTGAAACTGAATAAAAGTAGAAATAGAGGGAATCCTAAATTCACTCTAAACTAGCTATGATTTTGAGCTCCCCTTCCAGAAACAAGATGAGCACACAATGACCTGACAGGATGGGTCTGGTAAGTCATTTAAGTCTGTTACTCTTGACCTGAAAAGCTCCTGGGGCCCGTGTTTATGGAGAGAAGGGCCACAGCTTGATAAGGTAGTCTGCAGGCAGCAGGGATAGAAGCTGAGAGACAGGAAAGCTGCACTCCTCACCTCTTTCCGTTTCTCCAGGAGGCTCTCCAGCCGCTCAGGTGCTCTCTGTTCTGGTCCTTTGTTTCTTTCCGCTTCATACTGACGCTGATTGTTGTCTTTGTGCAGACTCAACTGGAGGGCAACTTTTACCAGGGATGTCATCAGTTTCATGGCTTTGAGTCAGGAAAATCACAAGGAAATCATTACTTAAATCATACAAGGGTACATGAGTTCAAAAGAGAAAGAAAAAAGGGCAGAGAAAATGAAAAATTAAAGGTGACCCTAAAGTCCTAAGACTTTATGTCCTGCAGTGGACTTACCACCCTGCTGTTCTGGCCTTCTTTTAACCCTCAGGGTGTTCCCAGGGGTGAGTTATAAAGAGAGATACTAAGGCTGGAAACTATTGCTGCAATCCACTCCCTTTTACCCTAGTGAGAAACTGGATAAAAACAGTAAGGTATTGAAATAAAGAGCTAAAGTGCAGGTGGAAATGGAGACCCAGAACCAGAGAAGAGAGGACAGCCCACAAAGCAATGAGTATTTACCAGCCAGGGTGCTAGTGTGACGGAAGGCACGGACTTGGGAATCCGAGAGGCCAGTAAGTAGAGAGATGAGGTTATCCATAGGAAAACCGTCATAGAGGAGGCTGTATTGGCACTGACAGACCAATGTCCTCACAAACTCACAAAAGCTGCCCTGGAACTTCTTCCAGGATGGACCTGATGCTGTCAGGGGATAGTCCCCTGAATCCTGTGAAAAGGATGAGAAGTTATTATCTGGTCCAAAAAGACACAGGATTTGTATGTCAAAACAGTAAAATGTATTTCTGATATATTTCATTTCCTATTGTTCTTCCAACTCCAGAAACGTAGTATCTCTGGGTCTCTTTCAGTTGCTAGAGATTGAACTCTTTCTTCTAAAAGCTACCCTATCTCCCAGAACCATAGAAAAGGATGCAATGGGCTTTGAGTTTTGAAATGAAAGGAGTAAGAGTATCCTGGTTATCTTCATCCACCTCATTAAACTGTTCTGTCAGGTGCCGGATGATCTCTGAGTTGGACATCTTCTTAAACATCTCAGGGGTCACAGTGCCTAAAGAATGAAGGAGATGAGGTACTTAAAATGAAAATAACAAGGCATTGTGTTCATTCACAGATATATCTCAAGATGAATAGGGAACATACTGAAAAGTAGTTAAGTGAGAATCAAAAGACCTGATCCAGTCATAAGTCTTCCACTATCCAAACGTGTATGTGGTATAAAGTAACCTCTGGAAAACTAGAAAGAAGCAAGTTGTGAGAAACTCTGGCTTTAGAAAGACCCCAAACTAATAAAAAAATAAAGAAAACAAACTAAACCAACTGCTCTCTTCTCAACCTAAACAACACTACTGGTCTATGAACTAAGCCATGGCACGTGGAGATCTAGGCACTCCCTAGCTTCATAAGAAAAAATAAATGTGAAAGAGTTAGTAAGAAATAAAATAAGGGGGCTGGGGATTTAGCTCAGCGGCAAAAGTGCCTGCCTGGCAAGCGCAAGGTCGTGAGTTCAGTTCCCGGTACCGGAGAAAAACCAAAAAAAAAAAAAAAAAAAAAAAAAAAAAAAAAAAGAAAGAAAGAAAATAAGGGCTATCTCATTTACAAAATACTAATGGCATTTGATAGTTCATTTTCAAATTTGTGACTATTATCATTATATAAGTATGATTATTTTTCCCCAAGGCTCTTGCCTCAATATCAACATAGTCCCCTACTAGATCACTTCCCTTATTTACTAATCAAAAATGCAGTTAAGTCAAACTCTTATGCTTCACCTTCCTGCTTTATTTAGAAAATGTCTATAATCCTACTTGTCTAAATAACATTTAATAACACAGGAATAAAAGGCTGGGGAAGAGAAGTGCATAGTGTTTCTTCACCTTTACATCCACAAGATTGAATGAAAAAGTTAATGAGCTCCAAAAATCCTGTATCCTCATCTTGCTTGTAGTTTTCCAGCCATTCATCCACCAAAGACTAGGGGAAAAATGTGGATAATTAAAAATGATTCTGGAGGGCCCCCCAAACAACTGCTAGAAGCAAATGCAGATTTCTCTCTTTAAAATCCACCTTCAACCCTGGCCCCAAAGAATTACAACATATACAGCTCCAGGAAAAATGAGTGGGTCACAGTAACACCTAGTGTAACATACAATTACAGCAAAGAAAGAATTAGAGAAACAGCAGAATTATATTCACGAATACTTTAGTCTGTTTTTTTTTTTTTTTGGTTTTTCTCTGGTACTGGGAACCGAACTCACGACCTTGCGCTTGCCAGGCAGGCGCTTTTGCCGCTGAGCTAAATCCCCAGCCCCCACGAATACTTTAGATGCTAAAGTTATCACAAATTATAGTTAAGTCTGATACGATTAAAGAAAAAGAAAAGCCCTACAGTAGAAACAAAAAGCAATCAAATTTAAAAATGGCCCTAAATTTATATTGATATAAAATCTAAAACTTCAACAAATGAAGTAAAAGCAGACTGGATACAGTGGAGCAGAAGATGAGTGAACTGTAAGCTGAGTCAAAGTAAGTATCCAAAATACAGATCAGAAAGACTAACTGGCAGAAATAGTGAAAGATGTTAAGAGACATGCTGATGAGACTGAGAAGTTGTAATGATGTCTCACTGAATTCCAGAAGATAACAAAATGAAGAAAAGTCAGTATTTGAAAAGAATTTTCTATATATGTCGAAAGGCAGCAATCCTCTACAGCCAAAAGCTAATGGATCACAAGCACATCAAACAGAAACAAATTTCTACTTCCTCCCCATCCTTTTCTCTCTCTCTCTTCCTTTCCTTTTCTTTTTTCCTTCTCTTCTTTCTCTTTCTGTCCTTCTCCCTCTCTCTCTCTCTCTCTTTCTCTCTCTCTTTCTCCCCCCCTCTCTCTCCCTCTCTCTCTCTTTCTTTCATTTTTTTGTACAGGGTCTCACTCTGCAGTTCAGGCTGACCTTCAACTCACTATGCAGCCCAGTCTGGCCTTGAACTCAGTTATCTTCTTGCCTCAGCCTCCCAAATCCTGGGATTACAGGCAGGTACTACTATTCCCGGTCAACACTTTTAAACATCCTAGATAACATCACAATATAAAAATCAAAGTCTTCAAAATAATCAAAGCAAAAAGAGATCATTTACAAATGATTTCCATTTAGCACTTAGAAACTAAAACATTATATATGAGATCCAGACAAATACATTAGCCCTTAGCCACACGTGGCTATTAAAATTAAAAATCCAATTGTTACCAGCCACAATTGTACCAGCCACATCAATCTAGTTGTACCAGCCACCTGAAAGGGCCCAACAGTCACAAGTGGCTGGTGTATACATTGACTTTCACAAGCAACAAGGGAAAGTATAAGGCAGTGGAATCATTTCTTTAATGAGCTGAGAAAAAAAAAGTCATCCAAGAATTCTGTTAACTAGTAAACAGTCTTTCAAGAAAAAAATCATTTTTATACAAGAAAAACCTGATAGTGTTTGTTAACAAGCCTCTATTCTAAAGGAAATTTCACAGTACAAACTTTGGACACAAAGAGAATGATTCAATGTGGGAGAGTTGAGATGCAAGGAATGATGAACAATGTAAGTGGTAAAAACGTATTAACAAATGTTGACTAAACAAAACAATAAGGTATAACTTGTTGGGGAAGGGAAATGGACAGAATTCATACATATACCAGCATATAAATTGGAAGAGATAATTGGAGTTAAAACGTACTCTGATCCTTGTAGAAGACAAGCAAAGGGAGAAAAAACACAGTAAAGGTAAGATAAAGTGGAAACATACAATGGTAGAAGTAAATCTAAATAATCAAGAGTTATAGTAAATGTAAATGGGTTAAATTCTCTAGTTGAAGAACAAATAAGAAAAATATAACCTAGATATATAATGTATGTACAAGAGAGAACTCATATATAAATAAAAAACAATGAAAACACAGAAAAATGTATTAGGCCAGTGGTGGTGAACCTATGGCACGTGTGTTGTTTTTCTCTTAAGACAAAAGATGTTAACGTATGAGATGTTTTTTCTAAACTAAAATCTCAGTATTCAGTTTAACTGCAGTATAGACACTTTGCAACAAATAAGTGGGTTTTGTGTTGCACTATGGGCCCTTGTCTCTAAAAGGTTCACCACCACTGTAATAAGCCAATACTAACCCAAAATAAAGCTAGTATTAAGATATATTAACATTGCTGGGCGTGGTGGTACACGTCTATAATCCCAGCACTCGGGAAGCTGAGCCAGGAGGATTGTTGTGAGTTCAAGGCCAGCCTAGGCTACAAAGTGAGCTCAATGCTAGCCTGAACTGCATAGTGAGACCCTGTCTCAAAAAGCCAAAAAAAAAAAAAAAAGATATATTAACATCAAAATATTTTTTTGGAAGTGTCAGTATGTAATTTACTGGATAGCAATAAAATGTAAATTTTAGAATCTCAAAATATCTAAGATAAATACAGGAACGTATACCAAAGCCATAACTGAAAAAACAAATCAACATGATTTTAACACACCTCTCTTTGAAACATGATTAATCACACAGGCCAAAACAAAACAAAAAAACAACAGTAGAAATATCAAGATAATATCACGTTTAACTTATTTGATCTCACTTAAGAGAACACTATATCCAACAACTGGAGAACACACATCTTCTGTAAGTATCTGTACAATGGTTTTGGTACTGGGTCATAAACCTAGGTCTCTATAAATTTCAAAGTACACGTTCTCTGACTACAATGCTATAAAGTTAAAAATCCCAACAAAAATTTAGGAAGGGCCAGGTGTGGTGGCGCAAGCCTGTAATCCCAGCACTCGGGAGGCTGAGGCAGAAGGATAGCCAGGAGTTCAAGGCCAGCCTGGGCTACAAAGTGAGCTCACGGATGGCCTGAACTGCACAGCGAGACCCTGTCTCAAAAATACAAAACAAAACAAAACAAAACAAAAATATAGGAAGCAAAGTTCCATGTTTAAAAATTTAAAATACTTCCCTAAAACAATAAAAATCTATATACTCTACATACTTCATATTAATATGGATGAATCTCATAAGATGCTAACTGAAACCAGCCACAGATAACCAAACGAAAGATTCACTTATATAAATTAAGGAACACAATCATTGGTGGTTAACACTATAATACAAGAGAACAATTAACAATACTCAGTCTAATGGTTATTTCTGGGCAGTAAGGAGACTAGGGTGAAAAGAAGATACATAAGGAGCCAATGATTCTATTAATGTTTCTTCTCTTGTGCTAGGACTAGAGATGTAGGTGAACATTTTATTTTTATTTTTTAAACTACACTCAACCTTTACACCCTTTTAGATAATAAACATGCAATTAAATACAAAAAACAAGAGGGAGCCGGGAATATAGCTCAGCAGCACAGGTGCCTACCTGGCAAGCACAAGGCCCGAGTTCAATTCCTGGTACCAAAAAAAGAAAAAAAAAGCAAGAGAGAAAAATAACTAGAGGTAATTGTCAAAGGAAGGCTAAAAAGTGAACAAGCTGCCACCCATGCTCAGGCTTACTTCCTGGGTTATCAGTATCACTGCTTGCCTCCTCCATCAACCAATAAAGGCAGAATTACCTCCTTTCTGTGATTCCTTCAGGAAAAGAACTTTTTGTCTATGATCTCCTTTATATTCTCTAAAGATTCAATCTGTGATGTCATCTTTCTCGACATTATGCTCACTTCATAACCAATCAATTTTATAAACACTTGTTCTTACCTCCCTATCTTATAGGGATAGTATCAAGAAACAGAGGTGAGACACTATGCTTTACCTGCATATCACTTTTGGCAGCTTTCACAGCATCAAAGAGATCACAGGATGGTAGCTCCAGTTTTTTCTGGCCATTCTGACGTGTAATTTGGGACCCCTTCTTTGGATGTTTTGCTACCTAGTAAGTGTAAAAAGATCAGGCATATTAAAAAAGGAAAGTAATGTTATACCTGCTTTCCTCATTATCACCTATGTAGGTTTAAGCTGCTAATTCCACAGAAGAGTTTACCTTACTGTCTCACATCTGATTTTATATAACTGATTTTTACACTGTTGTGAATCTTTTCCTTTACAAAGTTCCTAGGCCTCATTCCTTTACCTCTATATCCTAATGTTCTATTTTTTTCTCTTCAAAATTTATCTGCTTCCTAATTTTGATGCTTAAAACTTTTTAAGTCTTATCTTTCCATTAACCAGGTCACCTGACCCCCTTATGAGTTTTCTTTTGCTGCTTCCCATACCAGGTTCAAAAACAAAACAAAACTGACTCACTGGGGTTGTTTTGTGTGGTCGTTTTGCTCTTCTCTTCTTCACACTGCGTTTCAGGCTGTCTTCAAAGTCTCTGCCTTCATCACCAGACAAAGAAGGACTAGCCCTATGAGGGAGTATGGTTCTCCTTAAATATAACCACTCTATTCCCTCTATGTTAACCAATTTAATTCTTTTTGTCTCTAACTGTACCCTATCTCTATGAGAAAAACATATCCAGATTTTTTAAGAAAAGATGAGGTTGTAGCAGTAGGTACAGGAAAGTAGGGGCAAGTCTTAAAGCAAAACTTTCATGTTCTTGAAAGCCATAGAGATGAGTCAGAAATTGAGACAGGTGAAAAAAAACACTGTCCTAATATTCTCTCCAAAGAAGGTAATCAAATCAATATTCACCACCAGACAGACTATTCTTCTGTGTGGAGAAAAGTCATCATCACTCATTCATATGCCACTAACACATCAACAGATTAATATGTACCTGGAGTTATATTTCACCCCTTGAAACACAACCGTATGTTTTAGTACCCTGATATAATCTGATCCCCAACCACACTGACAGCAGCAGAAATGATTCAGGGAAGCCCAATTAAAATAAAGAGGATAAAATAAATCTTGTAGGAGATTAGGGTGTTTTTCCTGGAAAAATGAAAACCAAGATATACTACTTTAACTTTCACAGAATAAACTCATAAACCGTAACAGATAAGGATAGATGGACTGGTTTACAAAATTTCAAAAAGGAGAATGACAGGACCCCAACTAAAAGGAATATACAATTTGTCAGGAAACACATAAAACACCGCTATTTATTTATTAATCTCTCATTCTCCAACTGCCAACAGCATTTATATATGCTGAACACAGAAACGTATTCAAGATAGGTTTAGACAGCCAGTTGGATAATAGAGTCACGATGTGCTATTCTGGATAGCCACAAAGTGGAGGGCAGCCAAGAAACACCCAGCAGAGCTAGAGCACATTACTATGCTAAACCTTCACAGCATTTCTTATGTTTTCATACAGTCCCACGCATATTACAACCGGTTTAGGAAAGTGATAGAGTGGAAAGCTGCTGAAGATACAGGAGGCAGCAGCAAAACACTACAACTTCTCACCAACTCCACTCACCCCTCAGAAGCCAGGTTCGAGTCCTTCTCTTCACAAGGCAGACTGACAGAAGCACTAGGAGAAGCTGACAAGGCCTTCTGTGCACCTCCCACAGTTCTTTGTGGGGAAGAGGACACAATACTTGGGGAAGAGGAGCTATGCGACTGAGAGGACGACCTTAAGGTAGGCATACTGATCCAGCTGCGGGAAGAAAGAAGAAAAGGCTCTTGCCCCACCACGCCTCCATCCTTGGTCCTGGCCAGTTCCTTTTTCTCTAAAGGAACTGTTCTAGAACTGTCAGGGGGTGGGGTACCAAAAATATGACAAAGAGCTGCCCTAACCTAACCACATCAAAGCATCAAAGATACCATGGTTCCCAAGCTTGAGCACAGCCTGGGCAACTCAAGCCTCTTAGCAAGATTCAGTGACGAAATAAAAATTTTTTTAAAGGGCTGGGATTGTAGCTTAGGAGGCCCTAGGTTCAATCCTGGGTACTGCCAAAAAAAATAAAAATAAAGACACCCCCATCCTAGGGGCTAGAGATACAATTAAATGGTAGTGCACTTGCCTAGCATGTGTGACACCCTGGTTTCCATCCCCAGTACTGCCATAAATAAATAAACAAACACGTAAATAAATCCATACATACTACAACACCCCCAAAGTGGCTAGAGGATTTAGGGCTGCTCCCCAGGACCCAGAGCAACGTCAGACACATCCCTCTTACAGGCTTTGAAAACTGGAGAGAAAGTAAGGACAAAAACAAGGGGACGGGAAGCACTTAAGATTTGGGGCTGGGGGCTTGCGATTTAGCTCAGCGGCACAGCGCCTCCCTGGCAAGCACAAGGTCGTGAGTTCGATTCCCGGTACCGGAAAATAACCAAAAAAAAAAAAAAAAAAAAAAAAAAAGATTTGGGGATGGCGCGTCCTGTTTTTCCTGAAGGTAACATCCGTGCGGAACACTAGGAAAACTTATTCAGGCTTCCAAGCGCTTAACCATCAGTCTCTTGGAGATGGGGTTCCCTGCCTCCGCTGCGGAGGCCTCTGAAGTACTGACATGGCGGCGGCGGGGATTAGGGTGGGGGTGGGACCGTGGGGGCGGTCTCATCTCTGGGCCGAGGGTGGGGAGGGTGCATTCCTGAGTCAAAGGGGAATCTCACGGAGTCCGAGAGTGAGTTCTAGCGGAGCACAGCTGAGCAAAGGTTGCCGCCTGAGGTCTTTCAGGTCCCTGTGGTCACCCACCTCTTGCACAAGCACCCGCAGCTTCCGTTTCAGCGGCGAAACAGACTGGAAAAACGCGGGAAGGCACGAGGCACACTGTGCGCAAGCGCGAGACCAGCGTTCGCGCAGGTTGGGCGTTCTCGCGAGGCTTGGGAGTGCAAGCTCGTGCTCACCACGTTCCAGTCACGCCTGTCTAGCTGCCTCAAGCAGCAGCCAGACTTCTCAGGCCTAAGGTCTTGTCACTTGGGTGTAGGTGCGCCGGCTGCCTGCTTTAACCCTGTGCCATCCTGGCCCCGCCCCTTGTCCCCTAAATTTCCCGCTCCTTTGGCCGGGCTTCGGACTAGACTAGTAATAACTCTTTCAGTCTGGGTTCTCGACTGTAATAGGCTGGGTTCACCCAGGCCCCGCCCTTTGAGCCGGGTCGCCACGCCCCCCAAGTGACCACGCCTCCATCGGCCACTTCCCGCCTCCTTGCCTTACTTCCCTGCTACATTGGCTTAGTTTTTCCCCTGGCCCCGCCCTTGAGGCCGGTTCTTATTATCATTGGCAGGGCCCCGCCTCGGGCCCCGCCCCCTGTCCGGCTTCGGGCTCCCATTGTCTCCGCAGATGCCGCCCGGTGCAGCAGTCGTGCTCGGTGAGGTTTTCGGAGGTCGCACTCTTTCTCTGGACGGTACAGCGGTCCCGCGGCTAAGAACCGGATTCTGGAGTTCGGTCGGCTCTTCTTCCTCTTTAGGACCCAGTTTGCTGTCCCAGAGAGACTGTACCTATGTCTGCGCTGCGACCTCTCCTGCTTCTGCTGCTGCCTCTGTGTCCCGGTCCTGGACTGGGACCCGGGAGCGAGGCAAAGGTCACCAGGAGTTGTGCAGAGACCCGACAAGTGCTGGGGGCCCGGGGATATAGTTTAAATCTAATCCCTCCCGCCCTGATCTCAGGTGAGGAGAAAGAGGAAGACTAGAGGATCGGGATCGAGGGGTGGGGGGCGGGTCCTCCGCGTCACACAATAACTCTCTTCCCTTTCACAGTGACCGTTATAGCAATCTTTTCATCCCATAGTAATCTCACTCCTCCTCCTGTAACTTCCTTACCAGGATCACAATAAGCTTCCCGCTCACATAATAGCTTTTACTCCACCCCCACCCCAGGAATCTCTCTCTAGTAATTAGCACCCCCTCCTAAGTGATTTCTTCGCATCCAGTTCTCCGTGCTATTTCTAAGAGCCCCTTGCATAATGATACTTTCTTGCTAACCAAGTAACCCCACCCTTGCAAACCCCATTCTTCATTGCACTGAAGCTGTCCGGCCAGTCGCTCAGAGGCCTTGGGTGTACGATGTTGGGGATGGTCACCTGAGGACACCCTGATCACTAATTTGGCCCCCAGGGCAGCCGTCAAATAAATGATCCCATGGCTAATGAGAGTGGGCTTGGGGTGGGTTGAGGAGACAATAAGGAGGGGGCAGGTGGCTATAAGGGCGCAGACAATAGAAAAAGAGACTAGACAGGTGGAAGAGATAGGCCAGTCCCTAGAGATAGGTGGGAGATGGACAGCATTTCACAATACCCCTTGCCACCATTCCTACCTGTCTCCCTGTCCAGGCGAGCACCTCCAGATCTGTCCCCAGGAGTACACCTGCTGTTCCAGTGAGACAGAGCAGAAGCTGATCAGGGAGGCTGAGGCCACCTTCCGGGGCCTGGTGGAGGACAGTGGCTCCTTCCTGGTTCACACACTGGCTGCCCGGCACAGAAAGTTTAATGGTGAGGACACGGGGTCTCCAAAGACACTTCACACTTCCTTTCTGTGCTTAAAGCCCCAGCAAGCTTCTTGTCTCCTCTTCCTCCTCCAATCCTAAGACATTCCACTCCTGCCTGCCACTGCTTATCTCCAGTCCCCTGCCCACCTCTCTCCAGGACCCTGTACCCCTAATTCCCCATCTGCTAGGTCTCTTAAGAGTTGCCCAGTTTCTAATTCACTTGTTTCTTCTCTTCTCTCCTCATCCCCAACCTCCTCTGCCTCTACCCTTTCACTGTTCTTTTCTCTGGCCTCACCACCTACCCCTACTCCCTGCTTTTGCTAGAGTTTTTTCGGGAGATGCTTTCTGTATCCCAGCAATCCTTGGCCCAGCTCTTCTCGCACTCCTATGGCCGCCTGTATTCCCAGCACGCCCTCGTCTTCAACGGCCTGTTCTCTCGCCTGCGGGACTACTATGAGAAGTCTGGTGAGGGGCTAGATGACACCTTGTCGGATTTCTGGGCACAGCTCCTGGAGAGAGCTTTCCCCCTGCTCCACCCACAGTACAGCTTCCCCCCTGACTTCCTGCTCTGCCTCACACGCCTCACTTCGACCACTGAAGGCTCTCTGCAGCCCTTCGGGGACTCACCCCGTCGCCTCCGCCTACAGGTGAGGAGCGGTCACAAGGCCTGAGCTTCAGCCACCTCTGACCCAGTGACCTCCGAACTGTGCACCGCTCACCTCCAAGCCCATGACCACCTTTTGTGCCCCAGTCACCAGCCTGCATCTCAGCCATCTCTAACCTGGTGACACCTGTCTCAAGCATTGGTCACCTGTTTGTGACCTAGTTCTCCTTGGTCTCCTTTAACTGGATAGCTTCCTCTTCTTTGCCCTAGCTTACACAAACACACATCTGCCCTCACTCCCCGGCTGAGCCACTTTTCTACCAACTCCTGCCTAATTCTAACATCTTGACCTCCTCTGGACAAACAAACCTGAATTAGTCATAATAGCTGAGAAGCATTTTCACTTATAGCATCTCATTTGTCATTGTAATTCTTTGAGATACATGACAGTATTCTTTTATACAGATGAGAAAATGGGGGCTCCCAGAGGTTCTGGTCTTACTGCCAGTAAGTGGTGGAGTTGTGCTTCACTCTTCTGGCTTCAAGTGCAGGGTTCTGACACACCATCTGTCTCCACATCCTGTGCAATACAATTCCTACATCCCTTCCCAAACCCAGTTCCCTTTCATCCTTCTAGACTATAATTCCTTCAAACCCATAAACCTGCCTCTGAATTCCACCTGACACTCTGTCCACCCCA